TTGAATAAAGGATTTTTCTCCCTGAAATTCTCTATCTGTTCTACTCTCTCTCTCCTTCTTCTTCTTCTCTTGTGTTAGGTATGGTTCATAATACCAGGATTTGGAGTTTCTTAGAATAAAGAGATGTTTCTTGGAATTGAAGAGTTGTGTCTCTTGGAACTTAGTTGGTTGGGGGGATCAGAGGGCGCAGCGGAAGCGTGGTGGCCCAACCCACATTGGTGCATAAGAAACTCCATGATGTATTTTCTCCTAAGGGGCTGGTATTTGTCAAGGTGGAGATTGTTAAACATATGTATTTCTCCTAAGGGGCTAGCTATTCGCTAAGATGGAGGTTTGTTAAGCATATGTATTTTCTCCTAAAGGGCTGGAAATTCGCCAAGGTGGAGATTTGTCAGACATATGTATTTCTCCTAAGGAGATGGATGTTCGCCAAGGTGGAGATTTGTCAAGCAGATATATTTCTCCTAAGGGGTTGAATATTCGCCAAGGTGGAGATTTGTCGGACATATGTATTTCTCCTAAGAGACTGGATATTTGCCAAGGTGGAGAATTATTAGGTATGACTCATATACCATAAATGGGACAAATGCTGGAGTGAAGCGGAGCGGAGCCCACGAGCGAAGTGGAGCGGAAGGATCTGTCCAATCGGGGGAGTTACATTATGTGGGTTGACGGTGCGGGGGCAACACCTCGCGGTCTAATATATGAGTAATTTAAGTAATTACATATTGTACTATAGGGTTATATATATGTCATGTTTGTAACCCTAGATGACTCTCTGAGCCTCTGAGATTCTAAGAGTTGAATCATGTATTTTGTACTCTTTTCTGAATATTGAAAATGAAGTCGTCGCTTTGCTCCCGAGGATGTAGGCATCTTTGTCGAACCTCGCAAATCTTTGTGTGTTCTTCTGGATTTGTGTCGATTCTTGTTTTTCTTCACCCTAATTTCTCAACATCTTGGCTCTAACTCTCGAGGCATATACTTTCAAAAGACAATTTAGAATCGAACAATGCATACCACTTAAGTTCTATGTATTTACATATCTAACGGTTAAAGTTACAACTAATACATCTATGTTACCTTATTTATGCATGAAAATGTGTATTTCTTTTTAATTAACATGGTGGTGTATTTGATATTGATATGAAATACATAGGTCGTATAAATGTAAGAAAGTTTGGAAGGCATATATATATAAATATATAAGAACTCGGTGATATGTATGTAAATGCCCCCTTCTGTTAAAATCAGCCAAACAATTGCAGAACATGTGGAAGATATTGTATTCGTTATACTCCACATTTGCATCCTGAATCAATGAATTTGAGCTGAAATTGAAAACCATAATAAAAAAACATCCTTTTGTTCCATAGAAAGCCATTGCTAACTGTTACAGAACAAAACCAAACTTCCGCATCACCTTCTTATAAAACAGAGCTGAAGCTTTATTCATTTATTACTTTTATTCAGTGATTAAGTGCACAAGGAATACTGCAAAATTAACAAGAGCAGCATCAAAGAGGAAGATTAAGCCCTTTGCCCACATCCACACCAATCAATTGAAGAATTCCCCTATGAAAAATCTGAAACAAAAAAATTGAAACAATTTACCTAAATCTGAATTGTTCCCCCCATTAACCAAAGCATCCACAGAAGCGAAATGAACAAACCAGTTCAACGAGGAAGGTACCCACGATGCCAATCATGCAAGCCCTAGAGTTCCAAATCTCAGCGGTGTTGGTGAATCCGAGAAAGGGCTCGGTGAGCTTCGGCTCAATCTTGGGAATCTCCACCTTCAAATCCCTAAATCTATTTGAAAAGAACAAAATGGGAAATCTATTGGAGAAGCTAATGATACTTACCCCAGAAGGGAGTTTTGCTGCACGGACCATGAATTCCCTTAACTTCCGGTTTTGGGGAGGAAGAAGACGAAACTTCGCCTTTCCTTGAACATGGAGACGCTTTAGGTTTGTAAGCGAAGATGGAGTGGTCACAAGGGTTGCCATCACTTCTTTCTCCTCTCTGCCTCTTCTATGGCTATTTTTAACTTCACTCTCTCTCCCTCTCACGTAATCACAAATGTTTGAGAAAGAGTGAGGGGAGAGGCTAATACGCATGAGTGGATTACAAGCAACAAATTTTTCTTTTTCTTTTTTTTTTTTTGAGAAAATATTGGCTGTGGAATCCAAATGCAAGTTTACCTTCGGACACCAATAAGAAAATGACACCCATCAAACAATAGACTCACCCTCTTTATCAAGAAAATCGGGCAAAAAATCTAAGTTTTGGAGGAATCTGAACTTAGCTGGAGAACAATCTTACATATTACTGGGAAAAAAAAAAAAACTGAAGCCGCCTATTCAAAAACATGAACTTAGCTGGAGAACAATCTTACATATTACTGGAAAAAAAAAACTGAAGCTGCCTATCCAAAAACCAGTGTCACGCCGTCATTTTTTCACTTTAGGTTTCCTGCTTCCTTTTCATTTTGTGACATATTTAGGAGATGAGGGCTATAATAAATCCTCAGCAGATGAATTTTGAAAATGCAGAGTTCTTTAATTAAGGAAAAGAATAAAATGGATTTGAGTTTATTTGTTATTGAAATCATCACACTGCTTTCTTTTTTGTCTTGGTCTTTTATAATTTAAATCAATGTTATGTTGATATTGCAAGCCTTAACTTCTTTCTCACAATTTCACTCCAATACCACAACACCACTACTTTTTAAATAGTAAATGTCTACGATATCATAATCTATTTTCTTCGACATCAAAGGAGTGAAAGATTTGATGCATTTGTGTCAAAAAACTTTGCATCACCCCATGACCATACCAAGAGCAAACCAGTACCACTCTGTACAACGTGAACATCAACAAAATTGCACCACCCAAACACCACTTGAATACCACCCAATACCATTGGTCCACCCCAATACCAACCCAAAGACACATCAATATTTTAAACAATAACCCCCAATACCACACCAATACAACCACATCAATATTTAAACCAAAATTCACAATACCATCCCAATACAACCCCAATATCTTCATAATACCAACATCAATACCACATCTTCACTATCTTCTCCCAAACCCCTCAATATCACATCAATATCACATCATTACTACCCCAATACCATATTAATACCACCACAAAATCATCCATCAAAATCTTCTCTCAAAACATCCAATATCACCTCAATACTATCCTAATACCACCCCAATACTATCCTAATACCACCCCAATGCCATCCTTTCAACATCTTCTCCCAAAACCCTCAATACCACTCTAATATAACACCAATACTACCCTAATATCACCCCTTCAATATCTTCTCCTAAAACCCCCAATACAACGCCATTATCACCCCAATACCACTACTTCAATATCTTCCCTAATACCATTTTAATACCACCATAATACCATCTCTTCAATATCTTCCCTCAAAACACTGAATATCATCTCAATATCACGCCAATACCACATGAATATCAAACCATCACCGCACCAATATTATCACAATTTGAAATCTTACAATTTCTAAACCATATGATTGTATGTGCAGCCTTGTCAGCCAGACATTGTGGATAATGATTCAATTGATGACAAATTGCTTGACACCATTTTGCACAATGAAAATGAGTCGTATGAATTGTATTATGCTTATGCACATCACATTGAATTCACTGTTCGAAAAGACCATGTTCATTTTTGGCCAAATTCAAAGAATATAAAATCGAAGGACTTCTTATGTGGTAAAGCTGATTTTAAAAAGGAGTCTAACCTCAATAAAACACTTAAGTTTAAAAGAGCAGACACTAGGCTGGTTGCCCAACCATGATTCGATATGATGTTGACAAGGATGACAATTGAAAGATTAAATTTTTAAATTTATTAAAATTTGTAACCATTCCTCAGCAAAACCAATTGACCAACTTCTCTTGAGATCAAGCCAGAGTATCAATGATATCAACAGAAATGTGCTTAAATTGATGACAGATGTAAAGTTGGAGTTACCAATGCATTGGTGAAGTTGAAAAATTATGTTTCATAAAAAGAGATACATTCAATTTCTTTCAAAGGAGAGAAGAGTGAGAATTGAAAATGACGACACTAATGCTTTACTACAACCGTTCACAAAAAGGAAAATTGTAGATAGTGTGTTTGCATGGGACTTCAAGATTGATGATATTGGTAGGTTGATGAGTTTTTTTTGGAGCGATGACATATCATGAGTCGATTATAACTGCTTTGAGAATGTCATAATTTCTTACACAATTTATAAATTGAATAAATATAACAGTTTGTGCACCATTTGTGGGGGTTAACCATCATTAGTAGAATATCCTTTTTAAAGTAGGGTTTTTATTGGACAAGATAGGTGATTTCTTCAATTGGTTATTTAAAAAATTTCTTTGTTTAATGGATGAAAAGCATCCATTGACAATATTCATTGATTAAGATCAAGCAATGACAAGGGCTATAGAAGATGCATTTTCTCACATTCATCATGGATTATGCAGTGATATATATTTAATAATTTACCTTCAAAGGTACATTGCTTCACTAACAAAAAAATAATAAATGATCTATTTTATACTTGTATAAGTAAATGTGATTCAAAGGAGTTCGAGCAAGCTTAGGCTGAGATGCTTTATCAAGAGAATATTCATGACAACGTTTGGTTAGGTGAGCTCTACAACACTAGCAGAAGTGGTCAAGAACCTTTAATAAATATATATTTAGTAGGAAATCTTATCCACACAATGAAGCGAGTCCACAAGTAATATAAGTCGTGACATCTCCAAATCTAAAAAATTTATCATTGATTGTTTTTTGGCACTTGAAGGTGTCATGTCAACATGAAGACAAAATGAAAACAATGAAGATTTTAGATGTACTAAGACTGCAACTCTATTGGTTGCTAAAAGTAGTCCTATGCTGAAATAAACTGCTTCATTTTATTCAAGAATGATGTACACAGTTTTTAAAGAAGATTTTCTACATGGGGTAAGTTGGATTATCTGATCATAATCCTTCGGAATATTACATTACAAATTCAGATAGCAACCAAATATTGGATTGTTAAATTTGATAAAGTAACACTTGATATAAGTTACAATTGTAAAAAAAAAAAATTGAAATGATGGGCTTATTATGTGGCCACAACATTAAAATTGTAAGTCATGAAAATATTGCAAATATTTCAGACAAATATATCCTCATGCGACAAACTTTAGGTGCTAAGAAAAACTTCAACTTTAGAAATGGTTGCAGCAGAAAAATGGTTTCTCATGTGGTTTTATTTTTCGAACTCAAGTCCATAAATATTCGTATCAAATAAGCTCCAAGGCCCAAGGCAATCAAGGAGCTGAACAATACAAGTTGGAGACTATAAGAAAATTTTCGGATGATGTTGACTCAATTTTAAGTGGGAAATCATGTCAAATAAATCATAAGCCAAACATAAAAATGTCTGAAAAAAAGAATACAATATGAATCTAAAAGACCCAACAAAGATGCAGCCAAAGGGTGCATCTAATGTCAAGTTAAAAAGGCATTGAGAAAAAAAAAAAAGAGAACTAAAATTAAAAATTAAAATTGCTACTAATTTTATGCAACAAATCACTCATGATTACCATAATATTGCTTTAACTTATTGTATATTTATATCAGAGGAAGGAAAGAGCCTTTAATAGTTGAAGTAGAAAATGCCTCATCATGTGCTGCTCGTCTATGTTCATTACTAAATTATTTTATGGATGTATGACCAACCTTCTGTATGCCCAGTGATTTATGGATGAAATAAAATATTTATAAATTTTATAACTAGATCTTTTCCACGGTTTAGCACTACACACTAGGTATTTTACACATATATTCGTATCGTTTAAGTAATATCGGATTTTTTTTAGTTCAGAGTACTGATCTCACAGGGAAGGTTGTTAAATTTTAATAACTTCAGAAAAGTTCTAATTGAATAAAAAGACTTAGCCTGAAAATAAGTTCGATTTAGGTTGTACTAGTGAATTCTACCAAATCACCACTAATCCTAAAAATTTAATATAAAGCTGATTTTACTAAAGTTAAATAAGTTAAGAGAATTCAATCTATGAAAAATACCCTCGCCTTACAATGAACTTAGTAATTTGTGTATGAATGGAACACTTAGAAATTATATTTGAATTTATGACAAATATGAGTATTCATTTTCCTTACCATTTTCCAAGTGCATAAAGAAATTATGTTTAACTAGGTAAGTGTTTCTATCTGTCACCCAAAACTTTCAAGTTATCCCAATTAAATTTATCTCCCTATTTATTTGCACTGATATACATATTACTTTTCCTTCACCCTTAGATCAATGAAGTTTTTACTAGCTGTTAGCACCACGACACTCCCTAATCTTAATGGAATCACAACAGATTTTAATACACCAAATGACCAAATTAATATTTAAATGAAGTGTGAAGTAAGAAACCATCACAATCATGAATAAAAATTCATTCTAAATGTAAGCTCATACCCACGCATATTACTATTTCAACACAAGAGGAAGAAGTAAATGAATTACTCACTATGCATGAAGGAACCACAAGACTTCATCTTATAATAAAACAAAGTCATACAAGATGAGTTTACATGAATACAAAACAATATGAAATAAAAAACTTATCTTTCTCCGCATGAAGGAACCACAAGACTTCATCTTATAATAAAGCAAAGTCATACATGAATACAAGACAATATGAAATAAAAAACTTATCTTTCTCTCTGAGAACAGAAGAGAAAACTTCTCCTTAGGTGATCTCCAAGTACTCCTTGGACTGCTAACAACAATCCCTTACAATTTTCACTCAGATCTCTCAAAGAAAAAGTAGAAAAATGAAAAACCTAGATCTATCCTCCCCTTTCCTACACTCCTTTTCTTCTAGACTTCTCCAAAATGTCTTCCTTCGTTTTGAACTGCCTCCCCCGCAATTAACCTCCAAATTTTGTGTAATACTGCTCAAAACCTATCCAGGACAGTTCTGGCGCCTAGGCGCTACCTTCTTGGCACTGCCTGAGAAATCACTGGCATTCCCGAGAAGGTGGCGCCTAAACGCCACAGACTGGCTAGGTATGACCGTAGGTAGTGCATTCATTAATCTAAGAAACTATATTAATCTAAATGCGTAACGATTCATAGAATTATATTACTCTGGGTGATGTAGCTATCCTATTTTTTAATTGTTAAATTCTCAGTCATTAATATAAAATTTTTCGGGTTAAAAAGACCGTTGAAATTCAATTCTTCAGAAAATTTCACTCTTTATTTCCAACAAAAGCTGCCAATTCTCAATACATTTAAAAACAATTTTTTTGATAAAAAGGGGTCCACGATTTCGTTAAAAAGTTATTTTGGCCTTTATTTCACCCTAATCTTAATAGCTTATTTAATTATACTTACATACATACCACTCAATTCTTATGTATTTACATATCTAGCACCTAAACTTCAATTTTTTGCATTCAGTCCACCATACCCTTGCATTAAAAGGTGCATTTCATGTGTTTTAAACTGATATTATTTTTTTTTTATTTAAAATGAAATATTTGAGTGAAATAAATGCAAAAAATAATGTTCAGGTGCTAGATATGAAATACATAGGAATTGGCGATATGTATTTAAATGTCCCTAAAAATTCTTGCTAAAGTTTGGAACTAAATTTCATTTTCAGTTCTCATCATAAAGAATAAAAAAAAAGCAGTTACCCGTGTTGTTTGATTAACGGGCAGTAATAAATGATTCTTACTCAAGTGTGTAATTAAGATCTGCAGTCGACCAAAAAAAATAATGATATACCATTCAGATAAATTTTCTGAAATTAGTACAAAAAAATCACAAAAAACAGCATTTAAATCACTAAACCCATGTAATGCATAACGATAATCAGCTTGAAAAGCCAAAAAAAAAAGAAAAACAACTAATTACAGGCTAAACATCATTAACACAGGTCAGCAAAAGCTCTTCTTACTTTTCTCAAATTCTCTTCTGAGATACCAAACCTTTTTATCTGTTTTCAAAGCCAGAAACAGTTCTCTGCTCTCCCTCTGCATCAAAAGATCAATCGAAAACCCATATAGCTCGTCGTCTTCCTCAAGTTCCTCAATCGAATCAAGCACACGAACTGCTTCTGTGATTGTGAAGGATTTGTTCAGAGCAGCTGTGGCTTTGCTTCTGAGGGTAGCTGCATCAACCAATTGCTGAATCTGTTTCTGAAGCGTTTGAGCTTTCAGCATTTGGTCTTGAAACATCTGAGACACACCTGCGGATGCTGCTCCTGCCATTCCAGATTTTGGGCAAGCCATCTTACTTCTGGTGGCCTTGCCATTAGATGAAGGTTGGGAGGCTCTTTTTGAACCACTGTAAGATTGCCGAATCTCGTTTACTAACTTCACGTCTTCGGGTAATGATTTGGTGCTTTCACACTCATCGAAATCCTCGTGGTCTTCGTCGGTGACAACCGGAGGTAAAGAATCGGAGTTGCGTGGCCATGGAAGCTCGGCAGTCATGAACATCTTATCCAACTTTTCTTCCATCTCAGGGTCAATGCCATTATACCTGAACTTTTTAGCAGAGGGAAACTCCTAATACAGAAACACTGATGGTTCAGGAGACGTGAAATCATAAAAATGTGTTAAGAAAAACAAAGAAACAAAAAAAAGCATACCTCAAGTTTTGTTTTCCACCATTCATCAGAGGCATCAATGGTTTTTCTCTTAGGATTCCAACCAAATCCATCTAAATCCTTCTTCAAATCCTTCCATAGCTTCCACTCTTTTTTCAGTAGATCCCATTTGTTTTTCAACTGAAGCCTATCATAATCCCTACCTGTAAATTGCTTGAAATTTTCAACTAAGTTAGTCCAACCAGTTTTGTTGAAATGCGTGTTGGGTCGGTTTCCAAGAGCGATTTCTCTCAAACATAGGTCACAAAACATTATGATGATTTCGTATGACCAGGTAGCTGAGGGTCCAGATTCACGGTTCTTTCCCATCTACCATTTGAAGAAAATTAAAACATCAAACACACACAAGGACACACACTAACGGACAAAATAGTCTCAGCAAAGCAGCAAAGCAACAATTGCTATATAACGCCAACATATCACACAATATGACAATACTCTTCACCATCCTTAATTGTCTAAACCTATTCAAATAACAAAGGAGAAAAGTTTCTAGATGCTGCATGGCACTACGCAAAAAACAGGTGGCAGGATGTTAGAGGAAATCCTATATGATGATATACAAACAATATGATCACTCACAAATAGACGAAAGAAATTTAATTCTTGAAAAAAAAAATGCAATAGAAAACAAAAGTGATGATCCACCTGCAATAAATAAATAAATAAACAAAATCACCACTAATAAAATATCATTCACAAGTAAGTAGCTAAAACAGGCCCCTGACTATTTATATGAGATCATTCTAGTTCTAGATTTTATAAAATTATTAAATTAATCTCCAAATTATTTTAATGGGGACTAATATAGTCCTCATTGAGGATTATTTTAACCCATATTTAAAAAATCCGGTGAATAATTGACACTTTTAAATTCCAGGGCTGTAATGATCCCTGCAAAGAATCAGACGAACATTTTGACACATTTCACTTCATAAATATGCAAGACCTACTGTCAAAAAGAAACAGCAATCCAAAAGCAAAAGAGCAAAAATAGAAAGAGAATATGTGAAATCGATGCCAAAGCCACACAAGAATATCATAATCGAATCTCCTTCCCACCAAACAGGACACAATGAGGCAACCGTCAAAAAACCACTTCAAACCTTCAAATGCTATAATTAAGTATAGCTGATTGATACACTCGGAGAATCTTAAAATGACAATTGATGAGTGCTAGAAAATTCGCGGCGGTAGAGAAATGGATTATCGTCTTAATGATGTGTGAGGATTCAGCACATACTCAGATGTAAATGAATCAAACTATATGACACCAAAAGTTTTTATGTTGAAAACCCGTAAAAGAAAAAAATCACGAGGTCTGACCCAATTGCAAAAACTCACTATAAGTTGGTAATTACAGATGTCTCTTGACCCACAGGCAGGAAAGAGTTACTAGCTTTCCAAGTTACAACGTCGACTGGCGATATTGAGTCAACGGTGGATGACGGAGGTCTGCGGTGATCGACGGTAGTCGACGATAATCGATGACGGTCGGGGGTGGTCGACGGCGGCGGGAGGCCAGCGGGGACGGGGGACGGTCGACAGTAGCTAGTAGTGGTCGACAGAAGTCGGCGGTGGTCGTCGACGGTCAGTGGTGGTCGACGAAGATCGACAATGGCAGGGATGATGTGGACTTGAGCTCCTTCTCAAAGCCTCAAATTCTCCTTTCAGTCTCTTCCCCCATGTGAGGACTTCCCCAATGTGAGAATGGGGCTCTATTTATAGTGTTCTGGGTGTCATTAGTGCAGGATTATGAACCATTTTGATTGGATGGTCCGCAGAGCTTCCCTTGATCGGATGGCGTTTGATGGACATTTATGTGCCTTAACGATGTCCAAATTGAGCAATCTTGGGCTCGTTGGATTCGTCTTGTCGAGATGCTCAACTTGACTATGAAATCGCAAGATTCTATATCCGTTTGACCGTCCAAATATGTCCGAAAATTCTCTATAAGTGGTTTAATGATTTGATCCAGGTTTAATCTGATTCGGATTGGACTAGCTTTTATATCACTAAATCCGTCTTATCGAGCCGGTCAGTTTGACTATAAGTTTATTGAAATTAGAGTTTTGGATGACTTTTAATCAAAATTTGACTATTTCTTGTTCAAAAGATTGCATCGAGATTCATGTTGGCTGATGAAAATTTGTTGGTGGCGTGTCAGTTGCTCCCCTATTTTCGGGCGAGTCTAACTTCTTCATCCGAAAATATTTAGATTAGAAGCTTTTTTCATTTTACTAGGCATAAAAAATTTAGATATATACTTTATTACAATCAATATACAAATAAAATTATTTATCTTGAATAGAATATTAAATTGAGTCTAGTTCGGTTGGTAGTTTTCTTTTGTTATTTGCTTTATTTATTTATTTATTTATTTGGCTCTGTAAGCCGGGTCGAACCCAGGAGTCAAAAAACTGGACCTGTGGGCCACAGCGGGGCAGGAAGCCACCCATCCGAAACCGGACAGGCTAAACCCGGGAGCTTGAAGCGGGCTCCGAATCCGCACCAGCGGGAGCTGAATCTGGACCGGCGAGCGGGAGCTGAATTCAAACTGGCAGGAGATGAAACAGGACCGACAAGAAATGATTTAATTGATCAGTTATAACTCTTTAATTTGAAACAGATATGAAACCAAATGAAGACAATCAAGTTAAAGATTGAGATCCTAAAACGGGTCACGCTAAGCAGCCGAATTTAATTAATTAATTAATTAATTGAAAAGAATCTCAATAGCTATGGAGAATTAACTGATTAAATTAATAGAATTTAAAAGATCAACTTAATGAATTCTACACTTTTATTATTATTATTGTTAACAATTTTAATTAATTTCAAATATAAAGATAGAATTTGAAATGAAAAGTTTTTCCTTTTTTCATTATTATTATTATTAATTTTAATTAATTTCAGTCATAAATACAGAATTTGAAAGGTCAAAAAGCTGAAGGAATACGAAATGAAATCCAAGTAATGTTTCCACTCCGAACAGTCAACAGTTGTAGTGTTAAAGAAATCCAAGAAGAGACCTTCCGAGCTAATCCTCACAGAATCCTCAAAGCGGCTCCCAACGAGCAGTGATTGTGAAGTACTGCCTCAGAAACAAAAGAAAGTTGAAACATTACGGGAGCCCTTGTCAAGCTCTTAACCATTCACGTTCCAGAAAATATCTTATCTCATGAATTTACTGGGCTCCTAGAAGCTGAGAGTTTTGTAAGTTACTTTCATTTTTTGCTATTATATCATTATTTCATCTCTAACTTATAATTTCTTCTTCTAGGTGGATAAGATGGTGGAAAGTCAGCAGAAGCTACGACTTGCATTGAGAAACTGGAATTCTGAGTTTAGTAAGATAAAATATTTTCAAGGCGAGTACAAGCGTCGGTATGAATATAGGGTTGAAAAAATTACATCTCTGGAATCACAGTTGACCGAGTGAAGGACAGAACTTTCAATAATGGCAACCTCCCTCTCGTTGCAACTTCAGGATCTAGAGAAAACACGGTAGGGGTCGGTGGAAGCACGAGCCAACCTTCGTGAAAGTAATAAGAGCGTGAAAGACTTTAAGTCGACGGTGTTAGCCCAAGAAGAAGAGATCCGACTTTTGAGGTCCACAAAAGATGTTGATGTTTCAGAAATTAAGCGTAAAGCGGTCGAGAACTTCATGAAATCACTTAAATTCAAAACTATCATTTGAGACCATGTCCAAGAAGCTCGTGATCGTGTATTTGATGTTGAGGTAAATGAGCAACAGAAGTGATTCATCAAAAAAGGATTCATCCGGGGTTTCTTGAAAGGGAGTCGAGCGGCACAACGTCGAACCGGGATTGTTGTTGAGGGGCCCACTCCAAGCCAGGTTTCAGAGGACCATTCCTAAGATTCTGATCATGATGACATCGAGAGTGAAATGAATAAAGTGTTCTTCAATGACAACGAAGTGGTGAAAGAGAACGTTGACGCCAATTAGTGTTTTACTCTTCCTTTTAATGTTTGTAGCGTATTTGCTATTGTCATGTTGCTCTAACTACACAGAGGTTATTGTTTTCAAACTTTGTCAAAATGATGTTGTATTAGCGATGCATGATAATCATCTTATTTTGTTAGTTGTTTGCCCCCCGAGTATCTTTTTGGTGAAAAGCTTGAAACTTGTTTTATTTCATGTCACAGTGGATACAAGATATAATGTAGAAAATTTAATATGTGAGAATGTTACCGTGGGGATAAATCACCAACAACATTTGACTTGGCTGAGACTATCTATCGGAGTTTTATTTGATGATGTTAACATGCATAGGAGAAGTCAACGGAAGTCCACCGAGGACATTAACCCATCCGAGGTTGTTTGTTGGAGCATTGTTTGCTTACAAACCTGTCTGGAAAGAGTCAGGTGTAGCCCACCAAAGACTGTTAACTTATCCAAGGTTATTTACCGGAGTAAAAACTTGGCGATATTAACCCATATGGAAGATGTTAGATCGAATCCCCCTGGGATTGATCGTGCTCTGATTAAGATACAACCGGAGTTGTGTATTTCTCGGGTCGAGAGCATGAAGTGACTCGTGAATGAGTCATTATACTTTCTAAAGATATCCTTTTATATATAGGAAAGTAAGTAATATTTGAGATACATTGATTATGTATGAGTTGCAATGTAATAACATATGTGGAGTCATTTTCTCTAGAGTCATGAATATTGTGTCTGGTGGTCATGTATTAAACAGCGTAATTACTTTTGTTGCGGGATTGGAAATTTCCCACAGACTGCGTCAAACTGATGCGTGCTAGAAAATTCGCGGCGGTAGATTAATTGATTATCGTCTTAACGGTTTTTCTAGCACGCATCAGTTTGGCAAATTTTCTAGCACGTATCAGTTTGGCGCCGTCTATGGTCCACATATGTTATTACATTGTAACTCATACATAATCAATGTGTCTTAAATATTACTCATTTACTTTCCTATACATAAATGATATCTTTAGAAAATGTAATGACTCATTCACGAGTCACTTCATGCTCTCGACCCGAGAAATACACAACTATGGTTGTATCTTAGTCAGAACACGATCAATCACAAGGGGATTCGATCTAGCATCTTCCATATGGGTTAATATCGCTGAGTTTTTACTTTGGTAAACAACCTTGGATAAGTTAACAGTCCTTGGTGGGCTACAACTGACCCCTTCCACACAGGTTTGTAAGCGAGCAATGCTCCAACAAACAACCTCGAATGGGTTAATAAGTCCTCGATGGATTTCTGTTGGCTTCTCCTATGCAGGTTGACATCATCAAATAAAACTCTGATAAA